TGTGAACCCCCAGGTCTCTCTGTTCCTGAATCCCTTTTAAAATTGTACCATTTATCTTATATTGCCTCTTCTCATTCCTCCTTCCAAAATGCATCACTTTATGCTTCTCTGCATTAAATTCCATCTGCCACATGTCTGCCCATTTCACCAGCCTATCTATATCCTCCTGCAGTCTGCTACTATGCTCCTCATTGTTTATTACGTTTTTCAAGTTTTGTGTCATCTGCAAACTTTAAAATGTTGCTCTCTATACCCAAGTCCAGGTCATTAATATATATTAAAAAGAGCAGTGGTCCTAATACTGACCCCTGGGGGACACCACTATATACCTCCCTCCAGACTGAAAAACAACTGTTCATCGCTACCCTTTTCTTTTTGTCTCCCAGCCAATTTGGGATCCATGCTGCCACTGTTCTCAGCTCCGCCACTGGCTCACTGCAGGCCGTCGAAACCCTCATACATGCTTTCATTGCATCGAGGCTCGACTATGCAAACTCATTGCCTGTCGGCCTCCCCAATTCCTCCCTCCATAGGCTGCAGATAATCCAGAACTCCGCAGCCCGTATCCTCTCCCGCACTAGGCTCCGCAACCCCCCCATCCTTGCCCAACTCCACTGGCTTCCCATCACAGAGAATACAGTTCGAGATCCTGGTCCTCACTTCAAAGCCATCCACGGTCTTGCTCTCCCCGACCTCTGTGACCTCCCAAACCCCTACCATCCTGCTCGCTCCCTCCGCTCCGTGGGCTCCAGCCTGCTTCATGGCCCCCCACCTTACTCGCCCACTATTGGCGGGCAGGCCTTCCACCACTCTGCACCCACCCTCTGGAACACCATCCCGCAGTCTGTCCGCCTCCCTTGCCACCTTCAAAACCCATCTCAAGACCCTCCTCTTCCACCGTGCTTTCGATCTCCCTGCTTCCCCCCCTGCCCTCCACCCTCCCCGACCCCGACCCACAGCTCAGGTCCATAACTCTGTCTGTCCAGCGCCTTGGACGTCCTCCCGACATGAAAAACGCTTTACAAATATAATTTTGTTGTTGTTGCTGTTCTTCCTTTAATCCCTTGGGATTCAATTTTGTTAACAAGTCTATTATGTGGCACTTCATCAAATTCCTTTGAAAGTCCATATACAAAACATCAACTGGACTATCTTAACTCTCTGTTACTTCATCGAATAACTCAATCAAGTTAGTCAGACATGATTTGCCTTTAATAATTTCTTCAAAAAAAAATAATAAATTGGTCACTTCAATCCACGACTGTTTGTGGGACGCTGTTGTACGGAATTGGTTGCCACAAAATACACAGTCAATTCACTTTACAGTATATTCTGTGAAGCGCTTTGAGAAGTCTCGAAGACATGATAAGGTGCTGCATCAAATGCAAGGATTATTATTATTTATTGTTTAACAAATCCATGTTAGCTAACCTTTATTAACCTGTGTTTTTACAAGTGAAAATTAATTTTCTCCAAGATTATGGTCTCTAGAAGTTTCCCCACCACTGACGTTAGGTTGGCTGGCCTGTAGTTATCAGGTTTATCCCTCTCCTTTTTTGAATAGGGGTGTAACATTAGCAACCCTCCAGTCTCAGGCACCACTCCCCTATCCAAGGAGGATTGAAAGATTGTGGTCAAACTGTGTGTTTCCACCCTAACTTCTCTCATCAATCTAGGATGCATCCCATCCGGACCGGGTGACTTTTCTACTTTGATCGGGCAATTTCAAAGGGCAATTTTAGAAGGTACTTAAAGGAAAGAGGGTGGCATTAGGTTCCAGCTCCAGCTCCATCGGACAATTTAATAATAACAACAACAATAACAAAAACAATTAAAATAACTTTCAATTGATAAAGAGCCTATCACATTGGGAAGATGTCTCAAAGCGCTTCACAGGATTTACTGTAAAGTGTAGCGACTGTTTATTTTATGGGGTGAAGCCGATTGGCGCACAGCAACAACCCATAAACAGCCATGCGGTGAGTGACTGATTTAATCTGGGGGATTGTCGGCCAGACACCGGGTGAGAGAGGAGAGAAACTCCCTTCTCTTTTCAATAGCGCCGCTGGATCTTTAATGTCCACCTGAACAGTAGCCATTGTCCACGTGTGGAGCCTGAGCTGTGAGTGTCAGCTTGTCATTTGACTGTGGAGAGCCTGACCTCTCCCTGCTCGACTGTCACACACAGACACACACACACATACACATATACACAGACAGGTACACACACACACACAGATGCACACATACACAAACACACTCACACACACAGATGCACAGACACACACATACACACTCGCACACATAAAACACTTACACATGCGCATACATACATACATACACAAACACACACAGATACATACACAGACACAAATGCACGCACACAGATACACACAGACATGCACACAGACACACACACATAGACAGAGAGTGACCCCTGGGCTGGTTTAGCCTCCCCAGGCAACCCTGGCTGAGAACAGCACACTCAGCAGGGAGTAGGGATTCAGACCAGCGAGCCTGTGGTGTGTAAGCTGCTGCTGTGTCCACTCCGTCATCGCAGTGATCCCAATGTCCCATATGTCAGCCTGGTGCAGTGGGCAGCACTCGCCTCTGAGTCAGAAATTGTGGGTTCAAACCCCGCATCGGGACTGGGAATCATACAGTCTAAGCTGATGCTCTAGTGCAGTGCTGCGTGGGTGGAAGGGTGGAGGGGTGGGGGGTGGGGGGTAGTTCTCGGATTGTCATAGGTGTCGTCCTTTGGGTGAGACTTTAAACTGAGGTTCTGTCTGTGCTTGTTCAGGTGGACTTTAAAGATTTCTCTTGCGGTTCTCTCTCCCAAGGACATGGGAGTCCTGTAGCTCAGTGGTTAGAGCACTCGTTTTGCAAGTGAGAGACCTGAGTTCAATTCCAGGCAGAGGGCGAAACCTTGGGCAAGTTTCCTTACTCCACACAGAGCCTAATAATAATCCCTCCAAAACCCAAAACAATAATTAAATTGGTCATTTTCAATCTACGGCTGTTTGTGGGACATTGCTGTGCGCAATTGGCTGCCGCGTTCGCCCACAAATATACAGTCAATTCACTTTACAGTGTGTTCTGTGAAGCGCTTTGGGACGTCCTCCCGACGTGAAAAGCGCTATATCAAATGCAAGGATTATTATTATTATTATTATTATTATATTATTCTCTCTCTTGGTGTCATAAGAACATAAGAATTAGGAGCAGAAGTAGGCCATTCGGCCCCTCAAGCCTGCCCCGCTATTCAGTAAGATTGTGACTGATCTATTCTAACACCACCTACCCACCTTATCCCCATATCCCTTAATCCCTTTATCCACAAGAAATCTATCAATCTCAGTATTGAATATGTTCAAGGACTGAGCATCTACAGCCCTTTGGGGTAGAGAATTCCATAAATTCACTACCCTCTGAGTGAAGAAGTTTTTCCTCAACTCAGTGCGAAAGGGCTTATCCCTAATTTTAAGACTGACCCCTGGTTATAGTTTCTCCAAACCGGGGAAAAAGTCTCCCACTATCTATTCTGTCATGCCTCTTAATAATCTTATAGATTTCTATAAGATCACCTCTCATTCTTCTATATTCTAGAGAATATAGGCCTAAGTTGAACAACCTATCCACATAACTCAACCCCTCATCCCAGCTACCAACCTCGTGAATCTACGATGTACCCCCTCCAAGGCGAGTACATCCTTTCTTAAATAAGGAGACCAAAACTGCACACAATAGTTTAGGTGCGGTCTCACCAGGGCCATATACAGTTGCAGCAAGACTTCCCTACTCTTATATTCTAACCCTTTTGTAACAAATGCCAATATCTCTTTAGCCTTCCTATCTGCTTGCTGTATCTGCAAACTAACTTTTTGTGACTGGTGTACAAGGACACCCAAGTCCCTCTGAACGCTAACATTATCTTGTCTCTCCCTTTCTAAAAAATCACCTGCTCTACTGTTTTTGCCACCTCGGTGGATGACCTCACACTTCCCGACATTATACTTCAGCTGCCACCTATTTGCCCACGAATCTCGACTATCTATATCTCGTTGCATTTTTTTAATGTCAACCTCAGTGTTTACTCTCCCTCCTGGTTTAGTGTCATCCGCGAATTTGGATATATTAAGTTTGATGTCCTCATCTAGATCATTGATGTAGATAGAAAATAGTTGAGGCCCAAGCACTAATGTCTTAATGTTCCTAGTTCCTTAATGTCTTGCCCTCATCATCCATTTTCTCACTCTTAATGAGCTTTTCGGTTTTCCGTTGTTGGTCCATAAAAGACTCCCAGTCCTCAGGTTTGCTACTCTTTTTGGCAGTTTTATAGGCCTTTTCTTTTAGTTTTATACTTTCTCTAACTGCTCTAGTTAGCCACGGATCAACTGCTTTCCCTGTGGTACTCTTATTCCTCAAGGGAACAAGTGACCGCTGAGAATTATGCACTGCATCTTTAAACGTTTGCCATTGTTGGTCTATTGTCATATCTATTAATCTAATTCCCCAGTCTATTTTAGCCAATTCTTCCCACATACCTGCAAAGTTAGCTTTATTTAAATTTAACACCCTTGCTTTGGATTTGACTACATCGCTCTCTAACTTAATACTAAATTCTAAATTCTGTACTGGCCAACAAATCCCCCAGGTGCAATTGGTCACTCACTTCATGGCTGTTTGTGGGTCACTGCTATTGTGGCAGCTGCGTTTTGCTCGCTCAATTACCAGTCAATGACACACTACAATATACTCTGTGAAGCGCATCTGAAACGTCTGAATGACCTGATAAGGAGCTATATCAAATGCAAGGATTATTCTCATTTATTATTACGATAACAATAACCGAACTCCAACACAGCAACAACAGCAGCCACAACAACACGACGACAACGACGTTCCTTTATATTGTGGCCTTCACGCCGGATAGAGTCTCAGAGCGCTTATAAAGCAAAGGGCCACGGCACACAGCGAGAAGAGAAACGTGGCCCTGGTACCTTCATCGGAGCGAGCTGTATGGGGGTGATGCAGGAGGGGTCCACCACGGGCTTGGGCCTATTGGCTGTGTCCGCCAGCAAGCTCTGCCATTGCTTGGGCAGACCTGTGAAGCGCTGCTCGTGATGGTCAAATCCCGTGTGGACGCGATGCTCAAAGTTGGAAGGTGCCGAGATCTCGAGACGCTTCTTCTTCTTTCCAAACATGCTGGGAAATCCCGAGCGACCTGCCACAGAGGAGACAGAGAGAGAGAGAGAGAGACAATGTGAGCTCGCAGTCCAGGCTGATTCCTTCCGCCACTCTGCCCCAACCCTCTGGAACTCCACCCCCCCGTCCCTCCGTCTCGCCCCCTTCCCTCGCCTCCTTCAAGGACCCTCCTCTTCGACCGTGCCTTCGATCACCCTCCTTCCCCCCACTACCCTCCACCCTCCCCAACCCCGATCCCCAGCTCGAGTCCAAAACTCTGACTGTCCAGCACCTTGGGACATCCTCCCGACGTGAAAGGCGCTACACATATGTAATTGTGTTGTCGTTATTGTTGTTGATGCTCCAGTTCAAAATACACAGTCACTACACGTTACAGAAAGTCCAGTGAAGCTCTTGACGAGGTCTCGATGACACGATAATAATAATAATAATATTCTTTGTATTTGATATAGTTCCTTATCGCGTCTCAAAGCGCTTCACAGAATATACTGTAAAGTGAATTGACTGTATATTTTTGGGGGCGAAACCCGGCAGCCAATTGCACACAGCAGTGTCCTACAGACAGTCGTGGGTTGAAGTGATCAATTTTTTATTATTATTGTTTTTTTGAAGGAATCATGACACCCGGAAAAGTGATCCGCCAATCGACTAACTTGTGACCGAGATCCCACTTACTGCTGGTGATCAAGCGCTGCTTCAAATGAAGGGATTGTTACATTATATTTATTGAAGGAAAGCAGGCGTGGAGGAGAAAGGCGGAGGCTCGTGTGATGGACAAACACTGGCACGGATCCGTTAGCCGGAGTGGCTTGTCTGTAATTAGAATAAATAATATGAATCCTGGCATTTGACGCAGCACTTGATCAGACCCTCGAGACATCTGCAGGAGAGAGAAACTCCTTTCTCTTTTCCAATGGATCTTTAACGTCCACCTGAACCAGACACAGACGGGACCTCGGTTTAATGCCCATCTGAAAGGCAGCACCTCTGACAATGCACTGGAGCATCAGCCTAAACTGTGAGCTCAAAGTCCCTGACATGGGGTTTGAACCCACAACCTTTCTGACTGAGAGGTTGTAGTTTGATAACCAGTGCACAAAGCTGCTGCATCAAAACCAATGATCCTTAATTATTTATGGCATAAATCAAGAAATATTCAATCCTGAAAATTGATTGTGTTGGCTGACCCCCACCCACCCCAGAAAAAAATACCCTCCACTGCCCCAGCGCCTCAACATAATAATAATAATAATAATAGTAATAATAATAATAATCCTTGCATTTGATATAGTACCTTATCACCTTTTACATTTTATTTTGCTCAGCCGGGTGAGAAAACTTTACCGGGGTGCAGACACCCATCACTGCTTTAGAGTCTCCAAACCAAGCTGAGGTTTCCCTGCATCCCTCCTACACATGGAAATCCCAGAGAGAGATTGTTGGAATGGAATGCGCACTCTCTCTCTGGAGGGACACATCCTGTTTACCAAATTCCAGAGAGTATTAGGCGCAGGTTGACAAGAGCCAAGGCTTGGGGACCCCAGAGTGTGTGTTGGGGTAACTGCTGGAATCTAACCAGATAAAACTGCACAGCTGTTTGTGGGACATTGCTGTGCGCAATTGGCTGCCGCGTTCGCCCACAAATATACAGTCAATTCACTTTACAGTGTGTTCTGTGAAGCGCTTTGGGACGTCCTCCCGACGTGAAAAGCGCTATATCAACAACAACAACAACAAGATTCCATTTGTAGAGCGTCTTTTACGTCGGGAGGACGTCCCAAGGCGCTGTACAGTCGGGTCAGGGCCCGAGCAGGGGGGAAATGGTCAGGGTGAGGGGAGGGAAGGGAGGGAGCGAGGAGGGGGAAATGGTCAGGGGAGGGAAGGGAGGGAGCGAGGAGGGGGAAGAGAGTCGAGAGGGGAGCTGAAGGCACAGTCAAAGAGAAAGGTCTTGAGACCGGCCTTGAAGGAGGAAAGGGAGGAAGCGGCGAAGGCACTGGGGGATGGAGTTCCAGAGCCTCAGGGCTGAAGGCCCGGCCACCGATGGTAGGGCGGTTGGGGCGGGGGACGTGGAGCAGACCGGAGCCAGAGGAACGGAGGGTACGGGCAGGTAGATAGGGATAGTAGGTCGGAGAGGTAGGAGGGAGCGAGGCCGTGAATGGCCTTGTAGGTGAGGATGAGGATCTTGAATTCGATCCTCTGGGGATGGGGAGCCAGTGGAGGTGAGCGAGGGTGGGAGTGATGTGGTCGCGGTGTCTGGTGTGGGACAGTACACGAGCTGCAGAGTTCTGAATGACCTGCAGTGTGGAGGGAGGTGGCGGGAAGGCCGACGAGGAGAGAGTCCCATAGTCCAGCCTTGAGGTGATAAAGGCGTAGACCAGAGTTTCAGCCGCGTGAGGGGTGAGGTAGTGCCGTAGTCTGGCGATGTTCCGGAGGTGATGGAAGGCGGTGCCAGTTGTGACGCGGATATGAGGAAGAAAGGACAGCTCAGGGTCGAACAGAACACCGAGGTTCCTGACCGGCTTTGAGAGGTGGAGAGTGCAGCCTTGGATGCTGATGCTGTCAGCAAATCAAATGCAAGGATTATTATTATTATTATTATTATAGCTTATCTGGCAAGTTTTCCCACTGCTTGTCCAGCTAGGACCATCCTACCTGTTAGGGCTTGAGCTTGCAGGGAGCTTAGTAGGAGGATTCCCTGCCCACAGATTGTACAGTGAAGTGTAGTGACTGTGTGTCTGTGCAGGCGATCATGGCAGCCAGTTATCACACCCCGCATTAGCGTTCACATTTGAAACAATCGGGACAAACCAGCCATAAACGCAGCACACACACTCTGGGCAGACTCTGAAGGTCAGAGTCTACAGGCATTCCCGGCCGGTGATTTGAATGGAGAGCAATTTGGATGCTCGGTTTCCCGGGGGCTGAACCTGTTTTGTTACGTCACTCGATCTCCCCCCGCCCCCACTGCCCCCTGTCGTCAGCTGCCGTCATTCCTCAGGATTAGTGTCTGCCCCTCACATGGACAGCACCTGTTACAAACTCTCAATGTCAGCGCTTGGGCTAACCTCCACTTTCTTTGCCCCACGCTGAATGATATATAACATAATAATATAATTATAATCCTTGCATTTGATATAGAGCCTTATCACGTCTTCAAGACGTCTCAAAGCGCCTCACACAATATACTGCAAAGTGCAGTGACTGCATATTTTGTGGGTGAAACGCGGCAGACAATTGCGGACAGCAGTGTCCCACAAACTGTTATGGATTGAGTGATCAAATTATTAATTTTTTTGAAGGGATTATTTCCCCCAGAGAGCATTCGCCAAACGACTAACAACCGGGTTGCTACTTACTGCTAGGTACTCAGAGGCGTACGGAGTAAGGAAACTGCCTAAGATTTCAAAGACAGACAGACAAAGACACACAGAGAGACAGACAAACACACAGATAAATAGTAATACTTGGATTTGATGATGATGATACATAGAAACATAGGAATTGCTAGATGAAAAGAGACAAAGGTCCTTCTAGTTTGCCTTCTACCATCCGGGTAGTCATTTGCTACAATAATGGAGATGTTGATGGCAATCAATCCTACATGGATTAGTCTACAACAGAGTGGAAAGCTTTCGGAACCTTAGATACAAAATTGCCTGATTCTTCCAAGCCATACTACACTTCCTATATATATGTCATGTCTCAAATTACTCATATACTGTGTCCCCAGTAACACAGAAAAGAAATCTATCCAATTTGCATTTGAAAGAATCCACGCTTTCTGCTTCCACCATCTCCCTCCGGTGCCTGCTCCGTAGGTTTACTACTCGCTCACTGAAGTAGTGTTTCTGCAGATTTGCTCTGAATTTACTGCCCTTCAATCATGATTGTAACTTCAGGCACGTTATTGCTACAAGCTCCACAGCAATCTTCCCCTCCCTGATAAAAATAAACCAGTCACTCACTTCATAGCTGTTTGTGGGACATGGCAGTGTGCAAAATGGCTTCCCCGATTGCCTGCAAAATACACAGTCATTACACTTTACAGTAAATCCTGTGAAGCGCTTTGAGATGCCTTGACGTTGCACAAAGGTTTTCCATCAAATGCAAGGAATATGTGTTACGCCCACAAAATACAGTCACTGCAATTCACAGTATATCGTGTGAAGCGCTTTGAGATGGCTCAACGATGTGATAAAGCACTAGGTCCAGGGCCTTGGGATGTCTTCCTGACGTGAAAGGCAATTTGTTGTTGTTGTTGTTGTATAACAAAAGCAAGGATGATGATAATTATTATTATTATTATCATTTATTATAATTACAAAGAAGACATTCGGCCTTATGAGTCCCTGCTGGTGTTCATAGTCGCTTTGAGACGTCTTGATGATGTGATTATCAAAAGTAAGGATGATGTTAAATTGTGGCTTTTTCTGAGCATTTCTTGTGAACTGAGGCAACTAGTCAGCCTGTATTTTTTAGCTCTAAGGCAGGCAGGCCCCATGTGTGCCTCATGCAGCTCATGTGTATCTTAAACACTCACAGCTGCTGATCTGCTTGTTGGCCTCCCCAACTCCTCCCTCCATAGGCTGCAGATCATCAGGAACTCTGCAGTCCGTGTCCTCTCCCGCACCGGGCTCCGTGACCCAATCAGCCCCATCCTCACCCGACTCCACTGATTTCCCATCACACAGAGGATACAGTTCAGGATCCTGGTCCTCATCTTCAAAGCCCTCCATGGCCTTGCTCCCCACTACCTCTGCGACCTTCTAACCCCCACCAACCTGCCCGCTCCCTCCACTCTGTGGGCTCTGGTCTGCTTCATGACTGCCCCACCGTTGGTGGGTGGGCATTCTGACACTCTGCCCCAACCCTCTGGAACTCCATACCGCAGTCCCTCCACCTCGCCCTCCCCCACTCCCCGTTGCCTCCTTCAAAACCCATCTCAAGACCTTCCTCTTCTGCCATCGCCTTCGGTCACCCTCCTTCCCCCTTGCCCTTCAGCCTCCAGTATCCCGACCC